TTCACTATTAACTAGTATTGAGTTCATTATCCTATCTGTTGAAAAATTAAGACCCGTGCACCGGGAAGTCCTTGATATTTGGCGGCGGCAATCGTTGAGCATGACTTGAGTCATTTTGCGGTTATTAACATAACTTCCTAGTTACTAGTAGCCTTAAGCGTAGGGCGGAGTTGTCCACGTGCTGACCGATGCACACGTGCGAATAAATATTCCTTTTTTTATATATTGGCCAAACCCGTTTTATCAGTTTTTAATTAATTCAACATGCGCCAAACAGAAAACTTATACCTACGATCATTGCACTATGCATATCCCATAGGGCGTTAAACAGTATTGTTTCAAAAAAACCATTCGTTGAGTTTTTTTGATAAAGCATTTTTATACATTACCATTTTTTTTTTGTAACTACAGTTTTGTACCAATCAAAAGTTTAAAAGCAAGCTTTTGGGTGGATGAAAAATCTACCTATCGACCAGTGTTCGATATTTTTTATTTATTTGGTCAAAATAATATTTTATTGACTAATAATTGACTTAATACACTGCGGCATACCTGAATAAATAACAACTTGTCACGCTGTACATATTTCTATTAAAATCTAATACATTATATTTGCTTAAAAGCTGTTGTTTGGAACGTGTAATAAGTTATAAGCTGTAACTAAAATTTAATAACCTTTTGAAGATTCGTTAGACGATTTATTACACATGTACCCTACTCGATATAGCATAACTATAATAGTTACATATAGACTTTAGTTATTATAGATGGATAGATTTCGACTCTCGTTCGAAATTCGAAGAATAAATTTAGCCAATTTTTTTTTATGTTTTGTATAAAATAACAACTATTAATACGCGGTTTTTTTTTGTTAATACTGCACGTGTACGGGGTTAGTAAACTCTGTGCCAACAAATATCTGGACTTATGTACACGCGACGCCACTAATGCGGTACGTACACCCAATAATATAAATATTAACTATCATTTCTATCTACTCTTGTACGATAATTGGGTGGGATATAATATAACAATGTAATTGTAATAATAATATAAACTTACCGTGTATGTCCGCTCCGCTTTAATCGCATCAAACCTATCTCTCTCTCTCTCAATTTATTTAATATTTTCTGTTTTATTAGCATTAAATAAAAATTAAATTTTTCAATATTAATCCTTGCCTCTTATTTTTGTGCCATATTGTGCGGGGAAAAATTACTTCTGGAAAATGTATAAACCCTGGTAGAGTAATCGGATTTAGACAATTTTTTTTTCTAGATAAAGATTTCCTACAGCTCGCACAGAGTTTCGACTTTTGATTATATTATCAAAGTAAAAAAAAAGTCTGGGAAAGAAAAATGTTTAAAAAAATGGTCATATTAAACTCTTAAGACGATGTATATAAATTTAATTTAAAAAAAACCTATGTGGACAGTGGACTGTAGGGAAGTCTTCCTCTTTCAAAAAAAATTATAAATCTAATACCTAACTACGAGAAAAATTTCGTTTTTCAATTATTTTATAAAGGTATATGTATATATTTATCAAAAACCATAGATGTACCCTGCCATTTTGTGAATTGATAATATAGTAGAGTGGGGATATGCCATAACTTAATATATATTTTAAGTCATGACTTTGTGTAGGCTCGTTATAACATTTCTCCATTTTTGTGGATCATATATATAATTTTGTATGCTAAAATTTCCATTTCTGTACAATTGAATCGTTATCGTAACTATTACTATTGTAATTATTATCATTTAAATTTTAATATACATAGCTATAATTGTAATTTACATTCTAGTAGGCCGTCCAAAACGCTGAATGTTCGAGAACATTCAACCCAACCCAACTGGGCTTTGGTAGACGATAATTATTATTATGATCAACTTTTTATTATTATTATTATTATTATTCACAAATGAATAATCGATGACGGAAGCGGTCTCGTGTCTAGGTCGCGGTTAATCATGACTGTAGCCAGACGGTTTTGCCTCGGTAGTCTAGCTTTTATCAGAGGTCGTCTGCCGTTTGCTGCCACGATAACCTAGCTTCGTTGCACTTACATACAAAACAATATACTCTGTCCACGGTCATTATCATTCTGACGAAAATACACACTAATCTAATCAGGTATTAAGTAATCGCGACGTGCGCTTTTATAATAGGGGCTTAGACGATATTTCATTAAATATTATGTTATTATGTAATACTACTACACTAGCCGTCTACAGAAATGTACAAAAAGCTTTTGAATAACGCGACATGTAGAAATTGTTCATAAATTTTAAACTAAGGCCTTGTTCAAGCACGCAGGATCCTTAATGTGTCGGCAGTCACTAACTATGTGGCTTGCGCATGTGCCCTGTTGGGTTAATTAGGTCAACGCCTAGAGTTTTATTCATTGAATATTTTGTTGGTGAATAGAGTACATATATAGTATACATATTCTATATATATATATATATATATATATATATATACTATACAGTTGTCCACAATATATTATGTATATTTTAAAACTTGGTTATTCCGAGAACACGTACTCTAATCTAGTCTATGTTTACTATGCAGTTGTACCTAGTTGATAAAAAAACAAAGTAAAATATTATAAATAAAATAAATAAACATATAATAAATATGTTTCATGCGCGTTCCAAACTTTAAGTAGGTTCCAAGATCACAGTTATTATAATAATGACAATTTTTGTTACTTGTAAGATCTATTATTATACTTTAACAATAAAATAAAACAATTAATTAAACAATTGAATACCTATACCTATAATGAAAAATACTGTAATGTCACCTGACGGCCGTCATTAGTTAATTAAAAAAAAAACATTCTAATAATTAAAAATCTATTTTTTTCTAGTCGAGTTAAAAAAAAGTAGTGGATGGTGGATTGATTAAAAAAAAAAAATAAGAAAAGACACTTGGGAGTTGTCGTCTGGAGGTCAGACATTTTTGTATACTATCTTGTCAGTATGTTTGTAGTGTGTTAGAACTAACTCATGCGTACAGATGATGCAATATTGAAAACATGATTTTTTTGCTTGTTTGTGTAACGTTGGTGCTCGATTGGTATAATATGTTGAAAATTACAATTCTTGTTAGAGTTGTTCATTTTACTGTGCACTCTTTACAGGTGCTAGATGCGTATGGTTCAGCTTAAAATTAAATATACAAATATTAAACGGTAGCTTTCGAATATTCAATAATATTGTCTTCTATAATTTATTATCCTCTTAAAACGTCAATAAATCTTTTGCACACATGCACAATATAACTAATATTGAGTCGTTGTGTTTTTCTTTTTTTTTTTTATAATAATTATGCAATTGTACAAACATATTATTTATATATGTGCCTATTCTAATAACATACGTCTTACATTGATTTGCATGATTTTTTATTTCTAGATTGATTTTATCTTTAATTACATGAACATGTTGAATATTTTTTTATACATTTTGATTATTATAATTATAGGGGAGTCTTCAGCTAAGTTGTATCTCTCCTCTTATGACATTTGATGAAATAAATAAACAGAAGTACATTTTCTAATATAGCTTTATTTGTTTTTATGTTTCTTACACAATGTATGTAGGCAGTAGCCATATTTCAGTTTTTACTTTACCGTCCAAATTACAAATATATTTAGAATTTAATAACAATAAGATAAACACTATTATTATTATAGAATAATATTTAAAACTGATACTTAATAGTTAATATTTTTAACGAGTTATCCAAACATCATTGATGGTAATGGCTAGCCAATATCATTTAAGCTATCCAACATAATACAATAGCCAACTACCATATAAAACAAAAATATAGACGTTATTAAAATAATGACTTGTAGATTATATTGTTGGAAATGTCTTAGTAAAATCCAAATAGCCTTACAAGTACAATGAATGCGAATTCTAGTTGAACTCGGTTTCCATATTATCACTGTCGAATGGAATTATACTTTATTAACGATTTATTACATTAAACAGTATTAAAAAAAAAAACAACACCGTGGAAGCTAATTTAATGACAATCACGATTTACGCCTAGCAATTAGAACGTTCCCTCACACATTATGGTATTGAGTAGGTCAAATCAATCGGTATTAATAATACATACTTTGTAGAACACTGTTATCAACGATAACACCTCAAGTACTCAATAATTTAGACTTGTAGATTATCACGAACACTTCAATATTACTTTGACTACCACTTGTAGTCGTTTTATGTAATTCCCAGACAACACCATAATTGCATATTATGTACTCAAGATTATCGGTTTCGATTAGTCATTATTTACAATAATGAAAATGACTAATGTAACAACAGCTATTAAATATACTACTACTAATATAATAACTATTATCCACAACGCTGGTAATAAAACAAAATATAATATTATGAAATGTAAAATTAATAATGTATATAATATTATATTTATATTATACTACTTAATATAATTTGATTTCTACTTTTTGTATCATCAAATTGTACAATAATTTGATTGTTGACTTTTTTCTAAATTCTTATCATACAGAAAACCATACTATTATCATAGTATAGTTTGTAGAGATTACCCTGTGTAGGATTTCACTTGCCAAAGTTTTCATATACTTACTGCACAATACTCAATAGTGGTATTTTTCGTTTTCATTATAACTATTGGGATTACAGCGGCGTTAAGTGGTTTTTATGGATTGATATTGTTATTTACAAATTTTCCGAACGTACTCGAGCGTTAATGACTATTCGTTTGGAAAGCCCAAAAAAAATCATTGCTCGACCTTGAAAATGTTGCCATTTAATTGTTGGTGCATTGTATACATTCTTAACGGCTGTGTCTATCCACGTAATTTTATTTTATAATATTATCTTTCATGCATAAGCCTAAAACAAGCTTGCAGTCTCTAGATAGTAATGATAATAATGTAGAATAACAATTTTTTAATGCTTTTTGTTGTTGGTATTGATTTGCAGTCGTTGACGCCATGATAAGAGTGCGGAAAAAGTACGGTCGAACCGCCGAGTGCGGCTGATCGATGTACCGCCGTATTGGCGTCCACTTACACTTGACGCAAACAATAACGACAACGACGTCGATCAACAGTTGTATAGCGATCGCAAGCAGAACAATCGTAGGACCGCGGACAACGGTGATCTTTCCGGACGCCGCAGCAGCTGCATCGTCCGTTGGCGGTTGTCGCTGTCGTTGGTCGTGGTACGTTGGCGCGACCGACACCGCAAGTACAACCACGGCCGCCGGCTGCAAACTGACCGGCTGCGGTTGCTGTTACTTACCGGCGATCTGTTGTGTGGCCGCCGTGATCGCGTCGCTGTCGCTCATGCGTTCCCGCGCGGTCGCGTTCACCGACATAAACGCGACGGCCAACCTTGTCCAGCAATCTTTTGCCGCCGGCTATGACGTTGACGTCCGCGAAGACGTGGTCGCCGCCGCCGCCGTCGACGCGGTAGCCAACGCGACCGACACGTTGCGACCTCCGTCGCAGACGCCGCCGACACCTCCTCTTCCATCTCCTCCTCCTCGGCACCGTCACCATCAGACGCCACCACCACCACTGCCGCCGCCGCCGCCGGTCGTCAACCAGACAACCGCCGCCGCCGACAACAACCGGGTCGATCATCAAACACAGTCTTGTGAGTATCATAATAATAATATTAATAATAATAATAATAATAATAATACGTTATTGCGTAGCACGGCGGGACATAATAATAATACAATACGCTTTCATATGTCTTACGTCTGGCTCGTCTAGACGGCGCTATCGCGTTATGTATGTCATTCACATCAGGTACGAACAAAAATACATTATTGCCGAATTACACGTGTGCCGTGGGCCAAAATTTGCTCTCGTGTTTTAGAAATTTTGCGACGGCTGTCGCTTTACGGTTCATGCCAAATGTCATAATAATAAATTGCCAAAAATGCGCGACAAAACTAGAATATTAACGCTTGCGAGTCTGCCGGACTGCGACGTTTCGGAGGAAATTACATTATTTAAAAATATTCTACCCAGATCATAATATTCATGAGTTTAAGAACGGTTATACGTTTAACAAAATACCGGGTATATGTTATGTTGGCTCTCAACGCCATCAATCCTCGAGTTATACAATGAGATTTGTAAATTCAACCTTATTTAAACTAATTTAATATAAGTAATTTTTACTTGGAAACATGTACCTACATACCAAACCTTCTCTGATATGTTATTATATCCGTGTGCATAAAAAGTCAAACGCGTTGACTGACATGACAGCTAAAAGATTGAAATCGTCTATTAGGAATACATTTAATTTCATTAGATATTTTTTAGCGTTCAATTACACGTGCCGTCAAATTGGACCTGGTAGCCGGCTGTTAACATAGGAGGAGGAGGAGCTTAAATAGTTTATGTTATGGGTAAAATAGTCTGGGCCAGGCATCGCGGCATTTCACTAGCCCCAAAATTAAACAGTCACGGTTATTCAACATTTACGTTTTCTTGTGCCAAGAACTTATTTGCATATCTGATCTCTGATAGGTACCTACTATGTAGGTCCTACATAGTAAGTACAATGACAAAATGTTTGGCCGTATGCCCATCCGAAAATAATTTTCGGTGAATTATTTTGAACATGAAAACTGTAATTTGCATACCTATGCCCTCGACCGAGGAATATTGTGCAAAATAACAAATTATCTAACGTTGAGTTCTTGACAACTTTTAAGTATCAATAACCGTATTGTCTAAAAATTGTTTTGTATGTAAGTTATTAGCGTTTGGGTAAATCCTAAGATGAATCGATTGATATTGCATATGGACCTTTCAGTGAACAAGTAGAGTGAAGCAAATTTTCCCCAGAACAATTTAAAGTATTGGTTATATACATTCTGTTATTGAAATGTCAAAGAGTCTTTGACAAAGATATAGTAAATATTTTAATAATAATTACTCAACATTTTGTCCTACTGAAGTTCTTCTACACAAGAATTTTCAAGATACTATTATGATGGATAATAACTCTAAAATAAGCATTCAATATTCAGATATTATAGGGTGAAGGAAGGTATTTTCGTGGCATAAGCAATTTCGTGATATAGTTTGTTGATCGTATCGCGTAATTCCCTATTAGAAAATTGTCTTGAAAATCACACTGATTGTTAAAATAACTGTGTTTTAACAATCAGTGTGATTTTCAAGACAATTTTCTAATAAGGAATTACGCGATACGATCAACAAACTATATCACGAAATTGCTTATGCCACGAAAATACCTTCCTTCACCCTACATAGAATACTATAATCAGTAATAAAATGCAAGGAACTCCAATCTGAGTTATTATTTTTTGTTACTTTGCTCAGCGTACAGGTTTTCCACAAAATTTTATTATTTTTCTTCCTATTTCTTTCTTTTTCTCCGCAATCTTTAAACGGCCAGTAGATACATCACAACTATAAGTTTAACGGAACTCAAAGGTTAAATGAAGATGTAATGATCATTGATTCGCGTTGCATTCAATTAAGCTTCAACTAACATTTCTGTGAAGTCTTCCTAATGAGAATTGGCTGCCGCTTTTAATGTTAATATCAACCTATCTATTCTGACCGAGTAAAAGTTATCGGTTCTAGAGAATTAGTAATTTGAATAATGCAAATTGAGTTTGTAAGGTCACCGCGTAGACGGGAGCTTTACCCAAACCTATGTAATAACATTCACAGTAGGCGGACACGGTTTGACTATAATTTGTTGCGACACACAACTAGTACAAGTTTGTCGCTGTAAACGAATTAATTCAAAACTTTTTTATTCAAATACGAGTATAAGTTAAAAAAATATACAAAATGCGTTCATAGTATTTTAGAACAATATTTATAACGCACAACCGATTCTATCCTATACATAATTCCATCGACGTTCAATTAAAAGGCGCTAAGTAATTGAATTATTTTCAATTCCTAATGTATACCATTATTGACCGAACCCGAATAACTGCTAGCGTAGACAAAGAACTGCGAGAGAAAAGAAGTCGCTGTTTTTACAAGTTTTCATTCGACCTATAAAAAAAAAAAAAACGTTTTACTGCGAAAACTAAGATAAGCATTTATAGCTGTGTACGCTATTTTGGCACGTCCGTACGGTAATTTCGAAAATGCCGTTTAAGAGTTAAGACTCCTTTCGATTGAACGCCCATCGGACGACTTGGCGAATTTACTGGTACAACTGGTACGGCAGAACGGAATAACAGTTTTATAAGCGAATATTAAATGGGGATTAAAAAAAAAAAAAAGGAAAACAAATTAACTTTTCGGTACTATAACGTTGGCAAGGTGCCAACGTCTATATACAGTGTATAATATTATATTGTGCTTATCCACATGCGACGGGGTCCCCCGGTCGCCTCGGGACGTGTCTTGCCTGCATTATTATTATTATTGTCTAATTTCTATCGTTTTTTGTTTCTGCTTTTGGCTGCTGTCTGTGCTGTTTGGTTGCTGGAACAGATCAAGACGTTATAACTTGGGACTTTCGAGTCAAGGACCAACCCGCATTGCTAACAATAATAAATTATTATCTAAAAGTAAAAGCCAGACGGCTGATGTAAATCAAGGTGAATCCGTTTTACCTACATCGTGCACTGTGTGTGAGGGATTTGGCCGAACTTGACGGGATTGTCATGTCGCTGGCAACCGTCGACGATGACCCTGCAAAGCCGGTGGTCTTTTTTTCTCTTGACTAGCTTATGCACTAATGTGCATTATACTGAATAATTCATTATTATTTAGGTCCCCAGTCATTCGTATAAATCTATTTTCATAAATTGTCAGGGATTTGTGTATGCCTGGTCTACCGGATAATATTGTATGCAGATGATTCATTATGGATTAATTAAGGGTTACATAGTTGAAAAATATATAAAATCTGGGCTGACTAATTACTGTAGAAAAAAAAATGATGAAAAAGAATAATTACAAAACGTCAAATATTTTTTAAGATATTGACCGGTTCATAGCTAGTGGATCATGTGGATCATCATGTTTGTAAAATCATACCTAATAAGTACTTTGTCATAGTAGTACTTATTAGATAGTTTAATGATAGTGAGTATTGAGAAAAGGTTGTTAAACGGTGTAGATTCAGTAGAAATAATTAATGTGACAAAAAAAACTGTTGCTGTTTTGAAATAAATAAAAAAAATATTTGATTTTTTGTACTATTGTTATAGTTTTTCCTAAATAATATTCTTGTTTTAGTTAAATCGCAGTATTGAATACGAATAATGCGAATAGTATGCGAGCAAATTTGTATTTCCCCATTTTGGTGGCTCTTTTATACAATATTTCCTTGTAACAAAAAAAAACTGTTTATCCGCCACTGTCATATTTTATAGTAATTATAGACGGCGGGTTGCACGCACCTCGGTTGTTCAATACCTGTGTTTATTGTTATTTGTGCCCAATGACTGTGTGTCTGCGTGCAAACGCGTGTTGTCGCCTAAATTATAGATTAAGTGAAAACGAATTTCTCAGACGGCCGAGATCATGTTCCAGACCCGCGACGGCCTCGGCGAAGGACAATCGTCACGGTACAACGGTAGAAGACAATAGACAATAGTATATCTGTACGGTGTTAGTAGTCGAGACTATATTATATGCGCATTACACTATTCGAAATGAATTGGCTATAGGAACGCTGGTAAGAGATTCTGCGTAAAGTCAGTTACCATCTTCTGGCCTCTCGGGTCATATTCTCGCGATGGTCTCCCTGTCCAGTGGAGCGAATACTGATAAAACAGCCGAATATAATAAGATGTAGACGGCGATAAAAAGGGAATCTACAGGTTAAAGCTCAAACGGCAGCCGGATAAGTCACTAAAGCAAGGGGTGTCTATCTGAATAGTACACCTAACTTTGCTGCACCTAACAGTGCTGTTGTGTTCTATTTAGATATTTTTAATTTTCAAACCAATAATTCAACAAACGCTACTATACACTCATTTAGTAAAGTATAGGCAGTTTTTGGAAAAATCTTAATTTATAGCTTTAATTTTAGTCTATATGACGGCCATTTTTATGGAAAAATTACAGTTTTGCGCGAATCAAAACCAAAGGGTCTTGGAATTGTAAAATCACCAAAGTTTCACAGCAAATAAAGAAGAACTTTATCTTTTCTCAGTTGTTTTGAAATTTTCGATAACTCAATCCACTAATTTTAAAAAATGTATTTAAAAATACTAAATAACGAATTTTGAAAATTCACAAAAATGATTACATTTATCAAACAATTACAACGCTTAAGCACGCATAATATCCTCCTCTATTTGTCTATGAAAATTTGCTAAATTTAGTACTATCACAGCCACCAACCAATGTATTCATTTACGCAAATCCTGTTTTCACATGACAAATTATGGTTGGATAGTATCCATAATAATAAAACAAGTATTCAGAATGTTTCCCATTTACAATGAGTAATTTCATTTACAATGAGTATTTTGTGATTTTATTAAAACTGTAAAATTTTAAATGGTCGGTTACATTTGGCTGACAATCTAACGAAAACGTTTAATTTGATAAGACCTTGTACGATTCATTGTTTTATACACCATCTATTTTCATTTAAAATTATCAACGCATGCTGACCGTCAGCTA